AATAGTAAAGAATTTTAAAACAACTTGTACTAAAACCATAACTGTCATTTGTTTGTCTAATTCACGTCGAACAAGTGGTACTGTTCGATAAGCTATATGTCGTACATTATAATAAGCTAAAAATCCAAATATACCTGTTATAAATACCGGTAAAATGCCAGTAAGTGTAAGAAGAAAAATATAAGTATGATATTGAAGAAAAATTTCATTTGTACTTGTACAAAATAACATTTCTGAATTAGGTAATTTAACATGATTATAAAATATCAAATATGGAATTCCATGTATCATCCAAAAGAACATGAATACTATTATTATCCGATGACTTAATTTAATATTACAAAATTGTTGCCAATAAGGACGAAAACAAGTTGCAAAATATTGATCAATTGTTGCCAAACAAATACATGTAAATGATAATAATGCACAAGTTTGAAAAATAAAATATCGAAATTTACAATAGAATAAAGATATTTGAGTCCAATCAATAGAAAAACCAGTAATTGTAATACGAGATAATAAACCAGTAAGTAATTGTCCAATATTAACAATAGACATGATAGTTAAATAGAATGCACATGAATTTTGTCGAAATGTTTGAAGACTAAGAAAAACAATGATATTAAGAAATCCACCAATGACACCAGTAATGAGAATTGATATACCACCATAAAGAATCACTTGTTGGGCAGCAAATATTTGAGAGGTTGTAATCGCTGATGATGACATGTTTCAAATTCAAAATCACGCTTGGGTCGACACAAAATAATTATATTCGAAGTAATAAAAAAAAAATCCTGAAAAATAGTGTAGTTTTAATAATCATATAATTTTAAAAAAATTACAAAAAAAGATATTAATGTACAAGTTCTTCAAAAAGTTATTTTGTAAAGGTATTAATACAAATAGCAATGAAATATCAAAGGTTTACTAGTTAGTTTAATTAAAAACAGCCTCATTATATGATCTTTTTTTTCCCTACTCATGCTTAATAGAACTCTATTAGGAAGACATAGTAGGCGTGCTTATAGGTTGCATTCTGAGAAGATAATTGAATATCACAACTTCAATTTCTCTTGAACACACAATGAAAATATAGATTCAGATTATCATGTATTAAATAGACTATTTAATATATATTGTTAATACAGAAGTAATAGTTTCTAATTATAAATGTTCTCATTTTAAACAGAAAGTATAAGAAGATAAAAGATGATGATAATGAACATATATCTATTTTTAGTAATCCATAAAAAAAGATATCAAATATTATTTAGCACAGATCTTTTCTGTTGTATGTTCGACAATATCACTTTCACTTTGAAACTGGTAAAATATGAAGAATACATTCATTCTGACGTGTGACATTTCAAAAAAACATGAATTTTCAACGGAAATCAAAACGTAAGAAATATGAGTATCTCATTATAGTAGTCTATTTATCTGATAGAGTAGGAATATCTTTTTCTTTAAAATAGCTATAGATAGAAATAATCCGTAGATACTATGTATTTCGAGAATATTGACAGATTGGATGTTTAATAAAAGCGAGCTATTATTTTTAGCTTCAATAATTCAAAAATATGTATCGAATCAAATTAATCTAATTGTAGTTCTACATACAAAATCAAAAACAAATCTTCTAAAACACAAACATAAAATAGTACTTCGAGAACAGAATTATTTATAGGCTACTTGCAAGTACTTTTATTCATTCAAGATAAACAGTATAGATCCAAGACATTTTATAAATATTGTTATAGATAAATGCTTATTCAAATAAAATTTTATTCAATTTTGTTTTTAATAACATAATATAACCAATGGTTAACATCTGCTAAATTTTATATGAATACAATTGTATTCTAAAATTTGAATCGATATAATAGACACTTTTAATAGAAAAAAAAAATAATTACTATATCTTCACATGTAATTATGATTCAAGACATTATGACTTTAATACATATTAAACATTTTGATTAACAATTTAATTTCCTTGAGAGTTGTGTTTTCATGAATGAATGCATTAATTTATCATACTTGTCATGTTTTTCTCCTCTATTTTTCATAGTTTTAACTATCAAAGTCTTGTTTCATTCAATTAGTCATCTTTATAAAGATTTGCTGTGTTCTAATTAAGTCCTTGTCTAATTGTACACAGATGAAGAATATGCCTAAGAAAAAAAAATCCAATTGTCATTTTAACCTTTCTTCTCTTTTAAACAGGGTATGTGGGTGTAGATTTAATGAGACTAAATGAAAAGAAGATCATACCATCTTCACTCATTCTCTATGCAAATCTTTCGTCTGGCTGGATTGACTCGACAAAGAACATAAGCAGGCAAAAGCAAGTTTTAATTAAGTGAATAAAGTTATGCTGCCTGATTAAGACTGATTTTATGATGTTATGAGTTTCAATCAGTTGATTTTCGGTTATTCATTCTTTATAAGCTTTTAGAAATGCAACGACATTTTAATAAAATGCTAATAGCAGTTCCACAATATCCGAAATATTGTGAAAAATTCATGATTCAATGATTTTGCAAAGCGCTTTCTCTGCATCTTACAGAATTTTAGCTACCTTTAAGGGGCTCTTATCAAAAGTAAACTAAATACAATGTGAATCATACTCAAGTTCATGATCCATTTACTTTCGCTGTAATATCTAAAGAATTCTGCATAAAGGTCCTTTGTAATTAAATTAATTTCAGTGAGATTTAAGCATTATCTTTTTTATTAATTATTAAAATGTGCCATAGTTGAATTGCGATAGCTGAATATTACTAGAGAAAATAGTTCAAGATTGTGATCGAATTTGTCAAACCAGCCAGTTCAAGTTTTGAACAACAGGGAAATCATATATAAATATTTTTGTCTTTCTTTTTTTTTTGGTGATAATGATTTCGATTTGTTAATTAAAAATATAATTCAATAGTATAGTATGATGGAAGAATTTCTTATACAGACTAAGAAAGTAACCGGCAATCTTCATCCAAACTAAATAATTACGACACATCAATCTAGGCGTACGGTTTAGTATGTTTACTTAAAATCAGTTAGTTTTACCTAATACTTATAAGAAAAAACGACACTAAAAAAAAATTCAAATTCATTTCTACAGATCATTTTGTGTATATACTGAAGAGTCTACTGTAACACAAAATGTTCGCGAATTAATATTGATTCTTCAATTAATCTTTGTTTTCATTTTGTCAAAATTCAACTTTTTATTTATTGATTTATACACTAAAGTCCTATAGTCAAATTGATCAAGTTCATACATGAATAATTGGCGGGAGAATGCATCTGCTTGAAACGTTCTCATTCGGTTGTTTAGCATGCAGACTAAGGCCAACACTTGGACAATGCAAAAAGAAAAGAGGATTCGTTGATCTGAATTCATTGAGAGAAAATCTCAACAATTAGATTCTCGATCTTTTCAATTTGATTCCATGGACTCAGCTCTACATAGCTCATCCAATTGATGATCTTAATTACGTTAAACTCTTTTTTGTAATCGTATTGTCTAATTTATTTACATCGTTGATAAACTATTGTTTAGTCTTTTATAAGTTGTGAAATAGTTTTGTACTTCAGTACTATATAACTGTCTTTGGATGTTTTTTTTTACAGATTCGTTTTTCATTATTTTTATTTTTACTTTCGAGAAAGGAGCATTATGAAAATAATAGAAGTGTTTTCATAATCGGCAACATATGTTCAACATCTATGGGCGACAAAGTATCTTGCAAGTTATTGTACAGTTCTCGATTGATATTTTGTAATGCAACAAAATGAGAGATGAGCGTATTAAATATACGTAGAACTTCATTCGATCCATAATTCATTTCTAAATATTTCCACAACAATTCCGTATAGTAACTTTGTACTCGAAAAACAGCCATTCCATCATTTAGTATTGGCTCGTTGTCACTTTTCATAGTTGAAAAACCTTTCGTGCATAGAAGGATTACTAAAGAAAGTTGAATAATACGTTCATCAAACTGGCCTATCTTGGACAATGCACTGATAATCTTCTTGATTTTCAAGTATATGTCAGTGCCATGAAACTTTTGAATATCTTTCGCATCGCTTGGTGCATCAGAATCGACTTCGATAAATTGTTCTGCTTCTAATTTATAACAAAGTGATGCATTCAAAATAGAAATCGGTATAAGATTGTATTTGATCAAAGTCATTTTATCATCAATATTGAGTTGAACAAAGTCAGATATTTGCTTAAAAAAACATAATAATCTTAACACTGTAACTGAGCCACAGTTAACAAATTGTAACATAGACGTTGGACACATCGAAGGATTCCATGGTAAACCATTGTCAGCCGCTTACAATTCAAATAAGAAAGAAAACTTACAGTACAAGTTCTACTGAATTGAAACGTGAAACACGATGGAATAGCTTAATATGTATACAAAGACCTTCTCAATATAGGCTATGACTCATGTTATGATCAAGGAAGCAACTTGTTGTTGATGACATGTATGTGACAGTCTGCATGGAGAATAAATTTCTCGCTTTCTACATTAACACCTAATTGATAACCGTATGAAAAAAAGTGTGAGATTGCATAAGAAGCGAACTAGCTTTCCGAAAAAATTCTTCTTTTCTAATATAAAATATGAAGTTGTCTTCAACCTTTTTGATACTACAGTATTCAGTTCATCCTGCGTCACAAAAACTTCGATGGACATCTCTAAAGAATTTTTCTATCAAAACTCCAGTGAGCAAAGTTTTGCTGAAAATGTGGTATGCTTCTCATGGATTCATCCAAATGTTAGGAACAAAACGAAAAGAAAGTATATTGGAACAACATTTACCTAGATCGATACGTTTTTGATAATAGAGTTGAATATTTTCAATATCTTGTTGTTCTTTGACAGTAAGAAGAGGTCGAGTTACGGGCACGGATAAAATGGATGAGGTCGAATCGATGGGAGAACGAGTTATAATTGTAGGCGACTTGACCATAAATACAACTAACAATCATATTTACTATTATGGACAAATACAGTACCTACCGGTGGTACAGATTTGTTACTATGCAAATTCAATGTGACTTGTCGATTTTCTTCAATTTTACGACGTTTAGCTGCTCGTTGTTCATCCTAGAGGACAAAGAAATATTTATGCGAATCATTTGTGATATACATTCAAACATACAGTCAAAAGTCGATCTCGTCGCATACCACTATTGAGACATTTGATTAGACGACATGCTGAGCAACGACGTTCTGACGCAAAACTGATTTTACAATTTTGATTACTTTCACATTTGAGCTTTTCCTATACAAAAGAAAATCAAGAACAGTGCATTCATCCTTTCGTTTATCAAGATTTTCATGAAACTTGAATATTCAAACGATTATGATAAATAATACTTTTTCTCAACACCTACCGGATCTTTGTGTGCATTACGACGAAAGAATGCTTTACAACTTGCACAAGTAATTGCATCAAAATTATAGCCATGTGCTATTCCACCACAGACGACACATGTCAACGTTCTTGAATTTGACTTTTTCCGTTTTACTAATGCTTGCATTTCAACCTATGAACAAAAATAGGTTTGACCTTTGAAAGCAAAATTAAATGTATGCTAACTACCGTTAAATGAGAAGTATCTTGAGTAGCATTGCTAAATTCGACTAGAATGGGTTCAACTTCTGATGTCGTACTACTGATTCGAATCTGTTTAAGAACATCTTCATCACCAGTAATAATCATAATTTGTCGACGCTTGGACGAAGTGGTCAATGAAAATTCTGTCGTTGTTGTCATTAGTTTAAGGTAAATAATACTTTTTTTTCTAGAAATTATATTTGAAGAAATTAATGATTTTTTTTTCAATATTCATAGAAAGGAAAACTCTTTGATTATTTTGAAAATGTTTAGAAGTACAGAGTAGAGTTTCTTTGACTTTCCTATTAGTGAAATTGCACGAATATATACAATTGAGTTAACAAGACTTCAACAAAGCTGATTCAAGAATGAAATGAAGAAGTTGCTATGTCGAATCGGAAATTTTGATGTCAATCTCGAATCATATATGAACATACTAATCTTTAATTTACGATGATGAAACTTTATGATTGAGAAGTAACAACTAAAAAAAATATTTTTCATCAAATTTTGATTTAAAAGATTCAATTTACTCATTTACTTGACATATCTGTTTTAACAAATCGTAACTTATGAGTTCAGAAGAAAAAGCATTGAATACGAAGAATACTTTGTATTCATTCACTTTTTGAATACTGCTATTTTTGATTATTCGACAGAACATATATGTACTTTAATTCTAAAGTCAAACATATGCGAAAAAAAAAGACGATCAATACTAATTTAAATTCAGTATTAGCCTAGATATGTATTGAATTCAAAGCGTTAGACTACGTAATGAAGCAGTCAATTAACTTACATTCTTATACACTTTTTCAATATTTATATTGAGATAAATTGTTGAATTCGAATATTCAAGTTTGATGCATATCAATATCAATCTTAATCGAAGTATTAAGAAACGAGTAAATCAAAACAAAACAATATATCTACATCAAGTTTCACATGTAATTTTTTTCTGTTCGAAACATTGCACTGGAGCAGATTCACGATCTTTGATAATTCGTGTCGAGGCTATCTGCCGAGCTGATTCTTTTGCTTTCGATAGAAAATAACAAAAAAAAAGCTTTTCAATTCAATGCTCTCCATTGGCCTTAAAGAAACGTCATGACATGTATATGTCAAGTTTCTGATCGGATGACTCAGATAACTATCATTCTCTCTGTTGAAGTAGAAAAAAATAACCAAAGCAACTGCTGCAATTAGGTATATTTAACTTGTCCAATTGATTCTTGATGATACTATCACGTGTTTCGATTCTCCTGAAGTAGAAGATCAACTCTCGATAATAAAATGAATTTACTTTCTCGAAAAAACAATTTCAAATGCATAAAACAAACATGTAACCTACCGAGTTTTAGTAGGATATTAATGCGTCCTCGTGTGTTTTCTTTATTTTTATTTTGTTATTCATGGAGAGTGGATGTAGCCATGTGTTCTTATAGTAATAGTTGGTGAGTATTGTTTATTACCTGTTGTAGAGCGATGAAGCTGCAGAATCGCAAGAGAAAAAGGACGAAGAAAACGTCAAATGCAAATATTTTCATCTTTCCTCTCATTTTTTACCTTGTAACAGAGGGTAAAGAATATGAAAAGAAACCTATGCACATTCACCAATCAAAAAAGCGACATGAAAATAATTATCATAACAGTTTACATTGTCACTGCTGTAGATAAGGAGGGCTTGAGAGAAAAGGCTCGATAATGCACAGTTTTCACTATCGATAACACTACGTAGAGTAAGCCTATACATTATTGCACGAATCTTTTCGAATACACATTATAAGTGTATACGACGGAAAATAAAATGGTTACTAGAAATAATTAGCAGTTTCAATTTTCTTTATATTTTTTTTTAGATTTCATTTTTATCGTTTTCTATCATTAAAATGAAGCATGTAGTTTAAAAATATGTAGGTTTTACTATGAAAAATCAGGATACGTCAGATTTTAACCATACAAAACGCCTTTCAACTGTTTATTCATAAATTATGTCTAGTGATCTTTGGTCAATAAACTTGTCTTTCTGAAAAGTTAACAAATCGTTAGCTTATAAAATATTGCATTTGCATGATTCATCGTAACTATTCAATGAGTTTAAGTTAATAACCTATATATACTATCGACCAACTATACTTCTCAATATGTAGATTTATTAATATTGTTACTAGTGTGATGATTATTATTCTTTTCTTCATCACTACTCTACAAAGAACGCTTTTATCGGAATGTTTGCGAGATTTATGTGTAAAACACAATTAATCTGTATATAATGTAAATTAAGGAGTTCTGTAACACATGCTTCAGTTCACTTTAAAAAAGTTTCTGTATTATAAGAAGCTTAAAATAAAAGGATTACCGAAACAATCTTGAAAACTTTTCTCATATAAAAGTGTCTTGAAACTCTTTTTCTTTTCCTTTCTAGCAATATCGAGTTTTTTTCCATGTTTAGGACTTCCAACGTACTAATATATCTGTGATGAAAGATATTATTCTTAATCTCTTACAATGAGTTTGAAAATAAGGTCAAAACAGGTATCTCAAATTTAATCTTCTTTCATAATAATCCAAAAAAAAGGCTTCTGTTTCGTGACTAAGTATATCATTGCCCGGAAAGAGATGCATATTTGTATTATAATATTTTAGTGCTTCTTCGAATCGTGTTTAAAAACAAGATGATATACTGAGATTTTTGGGATTCTAGATTTCGGTACCATTGCTATCAGTTGCATTATTCAATTCGAGATGTGATTATGTGTTTATGCGGCTTAAGTTATTTATCTTGGTCAACTTCAGCTGTGCGAATAGATATTCAACAATACTACTTGAGTCTTCAATATATATCATGCAAATGTTTGTTAGTTATTGCTCAATATCGGTAGGAGCGAAAGCTTTGGCAATATGTGCATAGATATAGGACCGGTTTTGAGATGCCAAATTTCGAAAAATTAGTTGCATTCAACAAGATTGTCTTATATGCAATGCTATTGATAGTTTTTTGATGTTGTAGAATGTGTAAAAACTATGGAACAACAATATTCGCTGCTAAAAGACAAAACATTAAATTTTGAGTGTTAGAGTCAAAATATTCTTTCTGGAATCTACTTTTACTCTCGCAACATGGTAACTGCTTCTTGATTAATTTTGCTTTAAAGATGAGTAATACAAGAAACACAAGACTTTCATCATTGATTTCCGCATATAATAGTAATAGGCTGATGATAAAAAGTCGATTCTTTCTTATAATTTTTTCTTGCGTAAATACTATGATGCTAATTTATATTTTTTTTAAGTTAAAAAATAGGTCATTGTAAATCTAACCAAGTACTCAAATACTACATTCGATTGAGTTGATGAATATACGATTGTTATAAAAATTATTTATGTTTCGATATTTTTCAAATCATATTGACATAAAAAAACTTGCACATCATAATTTATTCATTCATAGTCATAGATGTTTTAAAGTATTCGTGTTTGTTGGGATGGAGTATTGATATGTTTTGATATTGTTAATCTAAAAATATAATACTCAATGCCAATATTGGTGCCGATACTGCCTACCTTAATATTTTATATGATTTCGATTAGTCTTTGATGCCATAAGCTCTGGAGCATCGATCGATGATTTTGCCATTGATTATAAAAGATAAACACGACCCAAAGACTTTTAGAATCAATTCGAGTGAAAAAATGACTTGACTTATCCATTCCTTTTGATTGATTAAAAGTCTTAAAAAAGACCTTGAATTCGTTCGTTGTACTACTTTTAAAAGTACTGCCACTCTTCTAAATAGATTAAAATCTCATGACTAATTCTTCTTCTAAGAAAAACTATATCAATAATAAGTCAAAATTAACATCGTTAAAAGCAATGAAAATAATAATATTTCACAGATTGATACCAATATTTAATATTAATTAGTACCGACAAGAAAAAAAAATTCCTAATACATATTAACAAAAATGTTGTCCACATTCACAAGCATTTATATTGATACATGTTCAACTTAATTGTTTCTCTTTCTGAAGAATATTTTAACAATATCATGAACATCAAGAAAGAACATACTTAATTTCTATAAATAATAAGCTCTTGATATTTTATATAATATTCGTATGTAAATCAAATACTAATATACTTCGCATGGCTTCTTCCTCAATTTTAACATTCAGACGCTCAATGATATGATCCATTTTGTTCTGTTTACAATAACTGATAATATTCATAGAAAGATAGTTTCCAAAGTAATTGGTATCCTTTTACTTAGAGTCAGCTTCATATTCCACTGATGTCTTGTAAAATTTCAAAATTGAAGAAGATTGTGTTTGTCAAGTTGAATATATTATTCAATAGAGAACTGTACCACGCGCATCTCTTTTGATAAACAACTCTGATCTAACAAGAGAACATATCTAATCGTCGCGCGCTGTGTGACTTCATTTGGTAACTATGAAATTTCTTTAAACTTTTCTTAGTCTAGTTGAGATTTACTCATTGTTATAATAGAAATTGGAACAGTGTTCAATAGTTAAGTGTGCTCCCTCTTAAACAATTATAAATAGTCATTTATTGTATTATATTTATTTTTTCTTCAACTTTTATTATGTTTGACTTGTTTCAAAACTCGAGAATTCATCTTGCATGATAAGATCAGTCAACCCATATTCTTATCATTTTTGTTATGTGTTTCAACGAAACCATAATTGAAGAAAACCACTAAGACCTGGGATTCTTTGAATTCTAGACGCAGAAGGCAAAGAAGATTGCAACAGTTCAATAAATTCGGATTTTCTCGACGAAGATACATCATCAGCATATTTCCATTTATCAGATATACAAGTAGTGTACAAAACGCGAATATTACTCATTGTGTCCACAAGTGCAAATATGTCTTTTTCAGATTTAGTACCAATTCGAAGTACTTCACATTGAGTGCCTAATTGTGAACGACCGAACTCACGATAGTTTTTTGTTCTAGAAGATGGATTGAAACCTTGTTGTTGGCAAATTGTTAGCTGACGCAAGTCAAGCCGTCGAATCGATTTACTCGTATTTTTGACTAGAGGTATTAGCGATGAAGGCCAGAATGTAATTTCTAATGAATAGAGACAAGGTGTTGTATTAAGTAAGATTTGAAGATTATGATCGGCATTAT